ACTGATACCATTTTTTTGGTCATATGCTATGTAAATATCTTTAGTTTCAGACTCAAAAAAACTTAGCAAATTGAAAAAAAAAAATAAAAGAAAGAGGAGGAAGTGTTTGAAATAGGTAACTTGTTGACAAAAATATCAGAACATAAAAAAGGAAAAATGTATCTTACAACATGAAAAGAATACTTTTTTTTCAAAAGGTAGGTTGCAAGAGGAAGTGCTCAAAATTGTATTCTAGTGATACGGCTTTTGATATCTACAATCTATTAATTGCAACAAGAATCACTTGGTGTTTAATGCTGTCATTTTCCAGAGAGGTCTGTAATACTTTCTTGCATGAATTCAGCTCGAGAATTATACCTGTAGACTGAGATTGGACTAAGAAAACTTGTACGTAACCTTAAGAAGAGGAAACTACGTGTATTACTGCAGATAATTTGGGTACGCTGGGTATGATTTGGTCAGTGCATCTTTCATTAAAGAACACTTGCGGCAGGGGGTGGGAGAAAGGTTTCCTCTTAGGCTTCACATTATGTGTGTGACACTTCCGAGACATGCTATTTGCCATGACGTAAATTCCTAACACGCAAATTAAGCTAACGCTATCCTGTAAATCTTATAAAAGAAACTGCAGCTTTGCCTAGGTTTATAAAGCTTTCATTTGAAGAGAAATGACAATAAATGACATTATTGTACCCTCCTTTCATTGCTTTGGGTTTCCAGTACTAAAATACAAAAGGCCCAAACAGTTTGCTTTGGCTGCTCTTACATGCATGAGAGCAGGGAGACAATATGCAAAAGGTAAGAAAGCTGAGAGGTGTTTATCCTTCTTTCTCTGCACATGGCAACAAACGGGGACAAAAAAATCTCAGTCCCTTGCTGTATCCCTTGGGCTCCTCTGCACCTTCTTAAGAGGAGACAGGACTTTTGAGAAATGCCCTCGTATGAGTCCTGTACAGGACTGCATGGTGTAAGCATCCTGCATGGTCTTTCTGGGCTACCAAGGTTTGGTCCCAGTCTCGGTAGCCTGGCAAGTGTGGTCTCAATCCTGGGAGACCCCATGGGTACTGGGCACTTCTGCCATAGGCTGGAGGGAGCATTCACATACATGCAGTGACCTCTAATGGTTACAGCCTGAACAGGGCACCTGAGTGCCGCCGTCCCAGCCATGGGACTCCCTGGGGACCCCCTGAGTGGGTCTGACATTACACCTTCTGCTTGGAGAAAAATGCCCACCATCAGGCTGGGAGTCATTTCAGGTGGAGATATGCTCTGGTACTTCTTTGTCTTGCAGTACAGCACAGACAAGCATCGGGTCAGAAGGGGAAGAAGGAAGAGAGGTCCTGACCCAGCATTTCAAGAACTGAAGAACGGCTTGGATCCAGTCTCTGCTCCAGGGACTGCATTTTTCATTTGTGATGAATGGCATTAGGGTCTTAGTTCAAGCAAAATACTGTAGACAATGCTGATGTTAGATAATTATTGCATAATTTATAATGTGAAAAATCTTTAAGTAAAAAACTCCACTTGTTCATGAATATCAACACATTTCATGCAAGAAACATATGGCTTTAAGCTAGAGTCACTAAAGCAAATGTTTTCAATTTAGTTTTGGTTAATAGTAAATAAATAATAGGATAATACTTCCATGTAACAAACCTGTATTTCTAACTGCTGAACCACTTGCATTTGCACCCGACACTGAGCAGTGCTTCTGTCATCCAATGCATGTTCATTGTTAAGGTGCCTAGAGAAGAAAGAGAACACTAGTAAGACAGTGTTAAGATAAGGAAAATTTCTTTATGAATCCATTTTTCTCTCCTGTGCATATGGCTTCCATTAGTGTCAACAGGAATTATGCAAAAAGACCTAGTCAGAGTATGCCTTAGATACAACAATACAAAATAAAAAAACTGGTTATTTAGTTTAGTTCTACAAACTCCCTGTGTTGAGTGCCAGGTACCCAGTTCCAATCTCCCAGGTCACATATGCCACCTAAAGGCCAATGTAACTGGTTACCAAGATTTGGTAGAGCGACTAAACTGATTTCCACTCCCTGGTGCTGGTGCAGATGAACAGAGAATCACTTTGCAAATGATTCTCCAAAAGATGTAATTGCTTTTAGAATCCTTGAACTACTCTGAATTAACGTACATTTTAAGATTTCTCTATCTGCTCTGTTTTAACTGTTAAGCAAAACCAACAACAGAATATCCATTCCCTCTTCCCCAAAACAGAGCTGTAGGGGAACATCACTGATTTTCACTGCAGCTTCCAGGGTTTGCCTCTGAAGATGAAGGCAGTGGTTGGGTTCCCCAGTGTGAGGAACTGAAGAGTGTGCAAGACAAAGGCAGGAGAAGGAACAGCTACACACCTCACACACACAGCAAGCCTCCTGGGAGGGATTCAGGCAAGGCATGCCAGACAAGCAAAACCGAACCACACTCTGCAATGAGAGAGCAGACCTTGGTGAGTGGCTGGCTGAAACTAAAGCACAGTCCAGACCCAAGTGGCTAGTCAAGTACAAGCTCATTTAATACTGTTTTTTGAAGGACAGTGGTTTCACTATATTCTCTCTCTTTTCCAGGATCAATGAAGTCCCTACTGGAGCTTTAATAGTGGTTTTGTTTTTCCACTGAGAAGAAAACACAAGGATCAGGCTAAAGAAGAAATGGGAACAAAGGAGTTTTGCCTTTGAATGTGGATTTACAGGCTATTTCCACTGTAGGAACGAGGGGTAAGCTTTGTAGGGACTACAGTCACAGATGGTCTCACAGATAGAGGAACTAAGTTATCTATGCCATGGAGGAAATGTATCTTCTCCTTTTTTGTTTTCTTAGCAGACTTAATCAGAGAATTATGTAGTTATTTGACTGGCAATCTATGGGAAAAATATGTTCATCAGAAAGAGTGGAAAAACAGAGGGGACTCCATCTCACTTTCTAAAATTTGTCTCTATTTAAATCATGACTTCACAATTTTAGGACCCAATGATAGGGTTTGCAGGTGAGCAAAATACAACAGGTTCTGATATCCTTGCAAGAGGCATGGCTAGGGAAGAGATATAAGTAATTTTTAATATTTTTTTTTTTTATTCTTTTAATATAAAAAAAGAGTATCCATGTAGTTTATGCTAGGTTCAAGCACCACCAAGGACACATTTCCTTTAGCTGAGTCATAAACCTACAATTTATTTATTTTCAAGGAACTGACTTCATTCCCCCCATGATGCAAAATGCATGATCAGTTTAAAAACTAGGTAATTGCGCAGAATGTACCATTCACTTTTTTTCTGAAATTTTGATTCGAAAGAATTTTCCTCACTTAATTACACAGGCATGATAGTGTGTGGTCTGTTAATGTAAGGGTTTAATGTTTTCAGTTAATTGGGTACAAAATTGCTAGAAAAGGACTGGAGACAGATTTTACCTCTGCGTCATCACCACTATCACCAGCACACACCAGTGTTTCCACACGCGTGTATGCTCCCCTATGTACGCACATGAGTGTATACGTAGAACACGTGACAGTAAGCTATGGCATAGGTATAAAAGATCTCCTGGCCTTAGTTTGAGGTTACTGCCTACTCATGATTATTTATTAGTTCTTACAACACCACATGTTTGCATAACACCTTACAAAATAGATACAGACACAGCCCTCGCCTTGAGGAACTTCATATGTAAGGGCGGTATGCAGTGTGGGAGAAGAAAGTCCGGTGCAATCTAATTTCAATATGATTACATGGTAACTTGGGAGACTGTTGCATGTTTCTTGAAAGTTAACACAATAATCTTTGGAAACTCATGAGATACACACATCTCTTATGCCACACTCACGTCATGTGGTTACTTGCATTTTGGAGAAAAGCTGTTTTATGGAAACATTAAGAGTGTAAAAATTGTTTTAAGAATTATTTTTTCTGATCTTTTTTTGCCTGTGAAGTAGGCTTCCTTTATTTATGATGCATGTACAGGCAATGTAGTGAAAGAAAAACTAGGTCTAATGCATTTTTAAAAACCTCTAAAATAACTTTTCTCTGTATAAAGTTGCTGCAGTTTTAGGGTCCAATATGCTGCAATCTGCCAAGACAGACATACATTCTTTCCTCCAGAAGGCTGGGAATCAGTCCAAAGGGGATTTTTTTGTTTCTTGTCATGCCTTTTAAGTTATCTACAAGTTGTGCTGGTCAATTTTCATACTTCATTGGCATATTTCTAATCTTTTATCTTGTCTGCATCCTTTACTAATCCCATGTTAACTTGATTTATAATTGAGCAAAAACAGATTTTTTTTTAAGGGGAGAAAATATTTTAGAAGACTGGAAAGTCTTCCTGAAGAGCTGAGTTACTGGTTTGAAAGTGTAAAGTAGACTGTGCAATACACATGCAGCTTATTTCATTATTTTGCTGTTTATTCAGTTGTTGAAAGAAACAGGATTTTCTCCTGATTATATTTGCAATATATTAGGAAATCAGGTGGCAAATTATGAACTACACATAGCTTTATAAAGCAGACTGGAATGAATGTATTATTGATAACTGAACAATATAAACAGCATGTTCTAAAAGAGGTAGATAGGGGATGATATATTCTAGCAACACGCTGGAATAAATATTGAAGTGGGTCAAAATGTACCATTTTTTTTTTTTGCAAGCAGATTTGGATTCTGCAAAGCAAAAGATAATACACCATTAGAGGAAAGAAGAGAGATAGTTTCAACAAAAATTCTAGTGGACATTTACCCATATCAATTAACCTCTATATAACTTGGCACTCTTGTCAGTCTCTCTCAAAAGCAGCCCGGGACTAAAATAGCAAAGTGCTACAGGTCAGGCTGAGGTGCACTGGCAGAGTTACGTGGAGGAATATACACAGAACCTGTCTGCACTATGCTCAGTTCCAGCCAGAGCTATTATAAGCCTCCCTTTAATGAGCACTAAAATTCAGCCACACATTTTTAAAAGGAGAGCAGACGTTCCTAAAACATGATTGGTTTATGT